ATGCATGTATGTATGCATGCATGTGTCTAATGTATTGTAGTGCAATGTAATGTTACTTTTATGCCATGTGTGCATGTCTTATCAAAGCATGTATGTACGTGCGTATGCATGTATGTATGTATGTATGTATGTATGTATGTATGTATGTATTTATGTATGTATGTATGTATGTATGTATGTATGTATGTATGAAGGTATGTATGTATGAAGGTATGTATGTATGTATGTATGTATGTATGTATGTATGTATGTATACGTATATGTATGTGTATGTGTATGTGTATGTGTATGTGCATGTGCATATGCATGTGTATGTGTATGTGTATGTAGGTGTGTATATATATATATATATGGAATGATTATGTATAGTTCTATAAGTAAATATGTATGTATGTATGTATGTATGCATGTGTGTGTATATATATATATGTAAATACATATTCTGTACATACATAGTTTTTTACACAATTAGACCGGCAAAGACCCCAGATAGCTGGGAAAGTGTCAGAAGGCTCATGGTTTCAGACATAAATGTTTGTGAGGTTGGCTATAACCGGGAAGGTCAGCCAGTTGGCTCTTCCTTTTTGTGTTGTTGCCCCCACGTAGTTTGGCGCGCGCAGCGCTGTTTTGGGCTCAGGCTTGCCAGTCTTGACGCGCCGGATCCATTTCAGCTGTGGCTCATTCACTTCCCACGCATCATGCGTGTAATCATGAGCATTCTTGATGCCCTGCGCCGAAGCAATCAGGGCACCAACTTACTGAAGATTGTCAAACGAACTGTCATGCAAATCCGAGATGTGCAACAAACCCCCCAGTGCACCAAGCTGTTGCCCCGTTCCCGACAACACATCAGTCAAACAACTCGCTGTCAATCTCGCCGCATCTACAACGGCGTGCGGAATGACAGTCTGCTACTGTCAAGCTGCAGCATCTTCCTGCCTTGCACATCCAATGTATTCCCAGACAAGCTTCGCAGCGAGGGCGCGCTCTCATTCAAATGCAATGCTATTCCGGCGTCAAGCCATTCCGGTCAACAGCTTCCACAAGCTCCACTGTCGAACAGTATCCACGACTGATCGGCCAATCAAGCTTGCCCGTGAAACTCAATCAATCTGTCATCAAACTTCACAGGATCAACCTCTGGCAAATTTTTGGGAGGAGCCGGGGCCACTCCGGCAGTCAACACGCCGATCAACAAGCATGCTCGTTTCGGCACTATCCCAGGCTTCGCACCTCGGATGCTCGATCGGGGTGCATTTTGATCCTGCGCCTCGACAGTCGCAGCTGCAACATTCTGCGACGGTTCACAGTTGGTGCTTCCTGCGACGCATTCTCTTGGGAGCTAAACGCCATATCGGCGCTCGGCGGCTCCGTGCTCCACCAGTCTTGTGAATTCCAAGACGGGTCTTCGTCCCACAACTCCAGTCGTTATCGAGCCCCTGCCGGTCACCGGGCCCATCATCAAGCGAACCCATCCACTCATGACTCCAACCAGGCTTACTTTCGTAAAGACCCATCGTACCATTCCTGTTCCCGGTTCCAAACCTGATTCCACTCTGCGTGTTGAACCTCCCGTTAATTATCATCATCGGTCACTGCCGACATTTCCCCCAGGCATTCTCTATTCCAGCGGCTCGTGTCACCGCAAACAACACAACCTCGTCCCTTTGAATTGCCGTTCATTCCTTTTCTGGTCCTCTCATTCCCTTGCATCCTTCTCTCTTTGCTTTTCCTGCCTTCGTACATTCCTTTGCTTAGGCTTTTCCTAGGTAAATACCTTTTCTATACTACCCTTTTTCTCCGTTCCTTTCTGTCTGCCTTTTCAGCACTTCAACGTCCAGGTCTGCTGGACTACCGGCATTCCTCATGCTTGGCACGGTCAGATGTCTGCAGTTGAGATGGCAGACACAATCTCCATGACTTCACCGAATGTGTTGATGTTACGAAAATTAAAACCATTAAAAGGCAAATGCTGCTGCATTGGACCAGTCGTTTTGTGCATAAACATTGTGATCGGGAGGTCATAGTCCAACGCCTTGTGGCGATTCTTCAAGATGATGAAATCACTCAGCTCACTCTCCAGTTGATCACTTCCCAGCTTGAATGAAAGGATGTCATTCAGGAGACTCGCGGCTCTCGCTCGTTCAGGCACTGCAAACTGTCTGCACAATCTTCTCCAACTATCAAAGCCATTCTGTGTCCTCACTTCGAAGAATCGCCCAAGCGGTACCATCAGTGATCTGTGCCAGCATGCACGCCAACTGTCGTGATGAGATCAATAACGGTTCGCTGTTTTGTGCTCTAGTCTGCTGCAGGTCAAAGGCTTCACTCAAGTCATCAGCGGTCACTCTCTGGGAACCTTCGACATCATCCGTCATTCGTTTCGCATCAGGTTTGTACAACCTAACATGCCGCCTCAGTTGCCATGACCAATCTTCCCATGTCAGCAGCTCAGCGCGGTGCACTGGTGGCGGGAACAGTTTGATCGCAACGCCAGTTCTTTTCACTCCGAAGTTCGCTACCATGCATAATTCAACGATCGGTGGCTCATCAATCGCACCTCCATCAGGGCAGCTCCTCGCTGTGTGGCGTTGGGGTACCACTCCACCTTCGGATGATGACCATGCCGCCAACTCATACGGACGACCATTCCCCATTGATATGGCTAACATGGTCAGTAAACTGACGATTAATGTAGTTGTCAAGCTTGAGGCGCTGATTGACATTGTTCTACACCCATGCGCTCCTCGCGACGGCCATGTGTCACGGAACATTCGGCGCGGTAGTGATGCTAAGCAACGGCAGCAACTTGAGCGGTCTCGTCCAAGAAATTAAGTTGACTTTTCCTGTGCGATTTTGTTGGGTCCAGGAGCGTTCTTGGACCTGGACTATGCAGTGGTTGCTGATGTCGGCTTGCTTTCAAGCCCGAACTGAGCCCCCCCAAGCTCTGCAAAACTCAACCGCTTTTGATTGCTAGTATCTCGGGTCCAGGAAGCCTTTTCGGATCCAGTCTATCTTTAACACTTTAACAATCCCCAAAATTCGTCTGAAAAATCAATTTAATTTGGTTGTTTTCTCTTTGATAGTTTGGGCGGGTCCAGGAGCATTTTGTGGACCCGAGAGGTCCAGTTGTGCACTTGTTTCTACCCTTGGCTGGCTTTCAAGCCGCAATTCAATCCCAAAAACTCAACTACATTTGGTTGTTCTTCTTTGGTAATTTGGGCGTTTCCAGGAGCGTTTTTGTGGCCGAAACATCAACTATACATTTGGTCGGTTTTTTCTGTGGTAATTTAGGTGGGTCCAGGAGCGTTTTGTGGGACCGATTTGTGCACTGGTTCCTGCTGCTTGCTGGCTTTCAAGCCGCAAATCGGTCCCCAAACCTCGTCCGAAACATCAACTAAACTTGGTTGATTTTTCTGTGGTAATTTAGGCGGGTCCAGGAGCGTTTTCTGGACCAGATTGTGCACTTGTTCTTACCCTTGCCTGGTTTTCAACCCATAAAGCGACGGCGGTGGACACAGCGTGCCCCACATGCACTGCATGCCCCGCCCGCATGCCGCTGCACCTTCTGCGGCGGCGGCGGCGGACGCCGCCTGCTTGCCGACTGCTTGCGGCTGCGCCCCCTGCGGCGGCCTTGGACACAGCGCGTCCCCTTGCATGTCTACTTAGAACCCTTAATAGCTAAAACTATCTGGGGAATAACTATACCTGTAAATCGGTAATTAAGCATGTACACGCACATATACACACACATACATACATGAGTGCGTGTGTGTGTGTGTGTGAGGAGAGCTACTGTGGACGGACAAAATTTTGCACCACTTGTCACAACCTTCTTATTGTATTGCCCTTTTTTTACGTTGGCTGTGAAAAGCTACGGGCCGGATTTGTGCCAATGGCCGCAATCTTGCGTAAGTAGGGGGTGCGGGGCTGCGGGGCTTGATGCCTCGATCGTTCGAAATACGCATGTACAGGTGGTGCACGCTCCTCTTTATGCGGGAAGTTGGATCTGCCGACACACTTTTCATAGCGGTGGCAGGGAATGGTGGCTGCTAGGCTGGGTGGGTCTTGCTTATGTGTCGCCCAGGCGCTTGCTGAAAGGCTGCAAGAGCTTTTACAAGACTGAGTGCAAGGACGGCCGCCACCTTGCAGGGTTGAGGGTTTGGGTCAGGTGATGAGGTTCAGGCCAGGGATTGAAACTGTTAAGGGCAAACTCTACTGGTGCTTCCTCCGGAGCTTAGGGTTTAGGATAGCTTTTCGTACAGTTTTATATACCCACCTCACAGACCTTTCACAAGTACCAAGTTGCCACAGTCTTTCGCAGAGCATGGGAGGCAGAATTCACCCTAACCCAATATTTCTTCATAAATCACTCACTCAGCTGATGGACACAACCCTGCTTTGTCCGCATCGTGGACTGCAGCTTTTGTATGTTCAAGGTAGCGCAGGCTGTTGTCATTAGCCGCTACACATTGCCGTGATCCTTGAATCTTCTGAATCTCTATCATGGTCATGGTCTTTACACTGGTTTGGGGTTTAGGGTTTTACCTCGAAACCTTTGGTGGCCTAAACCCTATGTGCTCCAGAAGCCATGCGACCTCGCGAAACCTTGAGAAAAGCCCGAGACTCTCAAAGTCTTACAGCTCTACTAAAGAGCCTTCACCTGGCGAACTTTGGTGCCAAGACTGCTGTTAAGCCGACAAGAGTTTACGGTTGAGGGGTCAAGGGGAAAAGGCTTGCTTGAGCAGCCATGCAGCCTTCGTCGTCTTCGTCGTCGTACCCTGAAGCTCCACAATCTAAAGCCAATAACCTTAAATCCCTTCTTCAAAAGACCCCAACCCCTCCAAAGCCCTCCTTCTCCAAGCAGAAACCATGTAACTGGTAACTTGGAACGCCGACAAAGAGGTCTGGCAGGAACAGGAATGACGGCTGTGGGTTTCCAGTTCAGGGTTTCAGGCAGCGCGAGCTTACCAATGTTTCCAATTCTTCAACCTCTTGAGCTAAAGGCTCCTTAAGCCCAAAGCCCTATAGATATTACAAGACTCATCTTCAGGGTTGTGGGGGTTCAGGGTTTAGGGTCTACCTGAAGCATTCGTCGATTGGGAGGACACGAAAGAAGACTCGGGCGACGCAAAGGAAACTAAAGCTTGTCTCCTGGCCCAGCCATGACGGTCTTTTTAGGGGTTTAGAGCTTTAGGGGTTATGGGATTATGGGTGTCGGGTTTCGGTGTGGATTCTCTTGATGTTGAGGGTCTGTACGCTTCTATGGTACTCGGGAATTGGGAGTGTCGAGTGCATCGTTTCCTCGACGGATGATGCCCTAGGTCCCGTGTTTTCCAGGGGTCGGGGCTTGGATTATTCGGGTTCAGAGTGAAAGGTATCGAGCGAAGCAGACAGCAATTGAGGCTACAAGGAGCGGACGCTTGTTGCCGACGAGGGCGAGCGCTGCTTGATTGCATGACTCGAGAAGGGATGATTTAGGGTTTAAGACGTAGGGAGTATTAATGTGAACAAACAGAAAATGTTGGACATGAGGCTCTCTTTAGCTGCATTAATTATAGCATACGAACCACCCCCTTTCAGATCTCTCCATAGTAGCTAGAGCTTGATGAAACATGCTGCATCAATCCTAAATAACTGGACGCCCTAAGCCCTACACTCTAGTACAGGAACTAAGAAACACGTGGTTCTTATGAAGAGTTTCACTTTGGCACTATGGTCTTGGGGATTTAGAACGTGGGGTACTTTCCATCAGGTTCCTACATCACAGTAAGCCAGCCAAGACCACCAATTCCAATCCTGAATCCTGGAATCTAAACATTCTACAATCCTCAAATGCTAGAACCCGAAAGCCCTAAACCCCTAGACCCTGAAAGCCGAAGCTAAGCGCTCTCTCCCTCCTCCAGGGAAACATAGACCCTAAACCCCGTGTTGCGACGACCACGATGACGACTACGACGACGACGACGAGTACTACAACCACGACGACAACAACAATTACTACCTACTACTACTACTACTA